AGATCTTATGGTTCAATAAATGGTGTTGGGACAATTGAATCACCATTTAGGCAAAATATAATAACCTTTAAGAAAAAAAGTACTTCATACCTTATATCAAAGCAAATTCTACAAAGAGTGAAACAACAAGCCACAGACTAGGAGAAAATATTTGCAGAAGACATAACTGATACAGGACCATTATCTAAAATATACAAAGAATTTTAAAAACTTAACAATAAGAAAACAAAACTACCTGATTAAAAAGTGGGCCAAACAATTTAATAGACACCTCACCAAAAAAGATAATACAGGTGGCAAATAAGTATATAAAAAAAAGATGCTCGAAATCATATGCCATCAGGGAAATGCAAATTAAAAACAATGAGAGACCACTATTCTATATATCAATTGGAATAACTAAAATCTAAAATATTTGAAACAGTAAATATTGGTATGAATGTGTCACTGCTGGCGGGAATGCAAAATAGTACAGACACTTTGGAAGAGAGTTTAGAAATTTCTTTTAAAACTAAACAGTTTCTTACCATATGATCCAACAATTACCCTCTTTAGCATTTACTAAAAGGAATTGAAAACACGTCCACACAGAGACCCTGCATATGTATGTTTGTAGTAGCTTATTCTTAATTGCCAAAACTTGGAAGTAATCAACCTGCTCCTCAGTAGGCAAACAGATAAATAAACTGGTACATCCAGATGATGGGATGGAATAATATTCAGCACATAAAAGAAATGAGCTATCAAGCCATGAACAGACATGCAGTGATCTTAAAGGCATACCATAAGTGGAATAAGCCAATTTGAAAAGGTTTCATGCTGTATGATTCCGACTATCGCCGCAAAGGTAAATCTTTGAAAGTATTAGAAAGACCAGTGATTGATTGCCAAAGGTTAGTAAAAGGGAAGGATAAATAGGCAGAGTCTAAAGGATTTTAAGGATAGTAAAACTGCTCTGTATGCTATGATAGTGAATACATGTCATTATAAATTTGTCCAAACCTATAAATTGTACAACACAAATAATGATTTATTGATTTTAGGTGATAATGATGTGCCAATGTAGGGTCATTAGTTATACCAAATGTACCAATCTATGGGGGATGATACTAGTCAGGGAGGTAATGCCTGTGTGGGGCAGGGGTATATGGGAAATCCACCTTCTGTTCAATTTTGCTGTGAACTCAAAACAGCACTAGAAACAAAGTCTTAAAAAAATGGATGTGATTATATAAACATTTTTAAATTGTGTAGGGAAAAAACTCATGCAAAATTAAAAGACAACATACTGGAAACATATTTATATCAAATGGCAAGAGAAAAACCCTAAAGATATGATAAGATCTTATAAATCAAGAGAAATGGATATAAACTCCCTAGAAATATGGAGAAATGTGGGCAAAGGATATTGCTTCAGACTGCTAGTTGAAGCTCCAAATCCTTCCTTCATTCCATAGTAACGTATTTTTAGCTGGGCACATAGCCATCCAGCTAGAGAATATATATTACAGCTTATCTTGCAGTTATTTTTTTTTGGGGGGGGGGCTGTAATTTAAACTACTGCCAAAAGAATGTGGGTTTAAGCAATGTGTGTAACTTTTTTTTTACTTGTTTAATAGCAAACTACTTAGTTTTGATATTTTTCTCCCAGTCTTTCTTCCTTACCAAGAAATGGAATATGGATTAGAGATAATCCAGTTTTGTAAATCCAAGTAAGGATAATACCAGGAGATGAAAGAACAACATGATTTATAGAATCTGGGTCTGTCAACTACTATGGTACCCCACTAGTTGTGGCCACTTACATATATGTGAGAAAGAAATAGCCTTATCTTATTTCAAATACATTTTTGGGTTTCTTGTGCCAGCTACTTGACCTACATCCTCACAAACAGAATAAAAGGGGACAGTCTCACAATAAGAAAATAAGAATGGCTAAAGTGTGAAAAGATTACTTTTTATGGTATAACAAAAGGAAGATAAATGAAAACAACCAAGAGGTAATATTTTGGACACTGTAAAATCAAAACCTAAAAGATGATAAAACTGATAAAATCTAGGTCTAAAAAGTATGTGGGGAACAAACAATAAATGGGCCAACAAACTGAACAGACACTTCTCGGAAGGTGATATACAATCAATCAACAAATATATGAAAAAATGTTCAACATCTCTAGCAATTAGAGAAATAATCAAAACTGCTCTAAGATTTCATCTCACTCCAGTCAGAATGGCAGCTATCAAGAATACAAACAACAATAAATGTTGGCGAGGATGTGGGGAAAAAGGAACACTCATACATATTGCTGGTGGGACTGCAAAATGGTGCAACTAATATGGAAAGTAGTAGGAGACTCACTGGAAAACCTGGAATGGAAACACCATTTGACCCAGCTATCCCACTCATTGGTTTATACCCAAAGGACTTAAAAAACAGCATACTACAGCCATATAAATGTTTATAGCAGCACAATTCACAATAGCTAAATTGTGGAATCAATCCAGATGCCCTTCAGTAGATAAATGGATAAAGAAAATGTGGTATATACACACAATGGCATATTACTTAGCAATAAAAGAGAATACAATCATGCCATCTGCAGGTAAATGGATGGGAGTTGGAGAATACAATGCTAAGAGAAGTTAGCCAATCCCAAAACACCAAATGCCGAATGTTTTCTGACATAAGGAGACTAATTCATAGTGAGATTGGGAGAGGGAGCATGGGAAGATTAGACCAACTCTAGATAGGGCAAAGGGAGAAAGCGGGAGGGAGGGGACAAAAGGGTTATTAAAAAGATGGTGGAATGAGATGGACATCACTACCCTAAGTACATGTATAAAGAAGACACAAATGATGTGAATATACTTTTATACAAGCAGAGATATGAAAAATTGTGCTCTATATATGTAATATGAATTGTACTGAATTCTGCTGTCATATATAACAAATTAGAATAAAAAATTTTTTAAAAAGAGCATAATTGTGATGTACTCATTTTATATACATCATTGGACAGTATTTTTAATGTTTATTTAGTATATTTGTACATACTCTATGTGTAAGTTTGATCTAGAATTTTTTGGGGAGACTGTCATTATCTAACTTTGATATCAAAACTAAAATAACCTAATAAAGGAGAATTTTACTCTTAAAAAAAGTATGTGAAGAAAACAATACTTACAATATTGAAAATGTAAAATAGTACCATCTATGGTGAAAATAACTACACTAGAGTGCAAAGATAGATAACAAGAATGATCACCACAGGGTTGTTCTAAAACAAAAAAAAACTGGAACCAAAGTAGGGTAAAATAAATAAAATTATGTTACTTACATACAGTGGAATGCTAAGAACCATTAAAAATGATGATCTAACAGACAAATCATCTTTTGTCACCACAGTATAATATTTAAAATTATCCTGTGCTTTAGAAAAGCATATATCAAAAATGATACATAGTTTAGGAAAGAAAACATAATTTATGATCCCTGAATTCTATCACAAGAAAGATTTCATTGCATATTAATTAATATTATAATTTTATTATTATGTATAGTGTAATGCTTTAGCATTGAATCAGATTTTGAAAAGAGAGTAAACTTGTCTAGCTATGAATTTAGCTTTATTAGCAGAAATGTGACTGCTTTGAATTGTCAATCTACCATATGGTGCCCTGAACCTTGGTTCCTATTACTTACTATTCCACAATTACTATAGAAAACAAGAATGATCACCACAGGGTTGTTCTAAAACAAAAAAATCTCACCAAGTTGCTGAGACTGGCCTAGAACGTCCAGTCCCTTGGTTCCTTCCTAACTTTTCTAATAAAATAACTCTTTTCTTTTTTTTTTGGTACTGGGGCACGCACTTTACCACTGAATCACATCTCCAGCCCATTTTATTTTTTATTTTGAGACAAGAGCTCACTAAATTGCTTAGGGCCTTGCTTAGTTGTTGAGTCTGGCCTTGATTTTGCAATCCTCCTGCTTCAACCTCCAAGTTGCTGGAATTACACATGTGTGACACAGAGCCCAGATCTAATGAAATAACTCTTAATAGCACAGGGAACTCTAAGTTGTTTATTTTCCCTAAATACTGGAGAAATCTAAAGTCTCCATGTTTTTAGAAACTTTGTGTTTTATTTTTAAAATTCAGATACATTTGTCATATTTATATATATATGTATATATGTGTGTGTATGTACATATATGTATATATGTGTGTGTATGTAAGTGTGTGTGTGTGTTTTACTATAAAATGGTTATGTTTTAAATTACTTTCTTTTTTATTTATTTATTTTGGTGGTGGTACTGGGGATGAACCCAGAGGCCCTCTATCACCAAGCCACATCCCCAAATCTTTTCTACTTTTTTTACTACCTATGGTGAAAATAACTACTTTAGAGTGCAAAGATAGAGAATACGAATGATCTAAAACAAAAAAACTCATCAAGTTGCTGAGACTGGCCCAGAACTTGCAGTTCCTCCACCTCAGCTTCCTGAGTCAGTGGGATTATAGGTATGAGCCTGCTTAAGTTGCCTTTTAATTTAATTAGTTAATATGTTCCTCCAAATCCTTTTCTGCAAAATCAGCATTACAGAAAATATGCCAATTTATCCTGTGGCCTTTTCTAGTGGCAAAGCATGCCTATAATTTAAAAAAAAACACAAGTTTTGGGTTGAATCCTAGCTCTGGCAACTACCTGTCCTATGAGGCTGGTAAGTTATTTAATTAAGACTCCATTTATTCTTCAGTATAATGGAGGTAATAAAGTCCAGATGTAGAATCTCTGTAAATGAGTATGACAATGCTTAGCAAAGTAAGTACACTTGCTGAATGTGTATGTTTTACAATATAATGAAACTTAGCTTTCTATACTTTACAATATAATGAAAACTTAGATTTCATCTTATTTGAAGTTATGACTCAAAAACAACGTATTTTAAAGGCCAATTACTATTCCACCAACTTCCACTTTAACAATTGAATTAATACCTGTAATTGTGCTTTCCTTAGTTGCTGGCTGGTAATTTGAGCTTTTTGTTGCATCATATTTTTAATTCGTTGGTTGACTTGTTTTTCCTTCTTGAGTTCATTTCCATAATATTTGGATCCCTATGGAGAAAATAAATCATAAGAAATATGTCTGAAGGAAAGCATTATTATAGTATACCTTGTTGGCTAAGAGTACAGACTCTGGAATCAAATGAACTGAATTCAAACTTAGCTCTACCATTTACTAGATGGGTGAACCAGCTAGTAAGAAATTACTTATTATTTGTTTCCTTATCTATAAAATATATTCATTAATCATAGAATTAATAAATTCTAAATCACAGAATTATTGTGCTGGGTACAGATCTGCATTCAGAACAGAATACTTTGTCCTAGGTAGAATCCACAGGCCATATCCAAGACCTTATTTAGCTGAGTCATCAGTTATCTCCACCAAAGTTTTAACATAAATGACCAAGTGGATGATGATCTACTATAAGGGGTGGGAGGCATGGGAACGATGAAGGAACTTTGGGTAAACAAAGAGGAAAGTAGGGAAGAGAGGGGGCAATAGGGTAGGAAAGATGATGGAATGAGACAGGTATCATTACCCTAGGCACATGTATGATTGCATGAATAGTGTGACTCTACATCATATACAACCAGAAAAATGAAAAGTAGTGCTCTATCTGTGTACAATGAATCAAAAAACATTCTACTATCATGTATAACTAATTAGAACAAATAAAAAAATAATAAAAATGCAAAAATATACCTTAAAGCTATTTATCATTCCACCACTCAACATATCCATTCTAACATTGAACATAGTCTCTATCCACTTATCAGGTTGACAGACACTAGATTATTTCTACTTTTTGACTATTATGAAAAATGCTGTTAAGAACATTTGGGTATATGTTTTTGTGTGGACATACATTGCCATTCTTCTTGGCTATGTACCTAGGAGTTGAATTTCTGGGTCATACTTAACCTTTTGAGGAACTGACAGATTATTTTCCAAAGTGACTGAACCATCATACAATCCCACCAACAACATATGAGAGTTCCAATTTCTCTACATCCTTGTCAACATTTGTGATCATCTGTCTTATTTATTATAGCTTTCTGGATAGCAGTGTGAATAGTATCTCATTGAAGTTTTAAAATTTGTATTTCCTTAATGATATTGAGCATCTTTTCATGTATTTATGAACCATATGCAAATTTTCTCTACTGAAATACCTACTCATATTTTTGCCCATATTTTTATTGGGTTGTTTGTTAAAGCTATAAGCTACATTATACTACTACTTCAGCTTGGCAAATCCATAAGTTTGATAATACAATCTGTTAGTGCAATTCTGGTATTAGTAATACACACGTACACATATCAGTGGTAGAAGTAAAAATTGATACAATCAATGTTTGATGATTTAATAACTCACAAAAATTATACATTCATATATTTTTTCATGCTATCTGTACTTTTGTGCAGCAATTCTACTTCTAGGAATCTCTCCTAGAGGTATACTTGTACACATGCAAGGTTATGAAGTATAAGGTTATTCAGCGTGTATTATTTATAAAAATTAAAGTCTAGAAATGACTTACATGTCCATCAGTAAAGATTCTGACTGGATTAATAAATTATACCCACACATGTGAGCATAAACAACAATACAGATCTTTACTTAGAAAGACCTTCAATTATAAAAACTGAAAACAAAACAAAATATTTGCAGTTATTTGGGGGCTAGGAATGTGGTTCAATGGTAAAGTGATTGCCTAGCATGCTAGAGGACCTGGGTTCAATCCCCAGCACCACAAAAACAAAAGACAGAAAACCAACCAATTATAGTACTCTCCTGTTGGGGTTAAAAAGGAAAAGAGCAGGGGCTGGGATTGTAGCTCAGCAGTAGAGCGCTTGTCTAGCATGGGCGGGACCAGGGTTCGATCCTCAGCACCACATAAAAAATAATAAAGGCATTGTGTTGTGACCATCTACACCAAAAAAAAAAAAAAAAAGTATTAAAAAAAAAGAATTAAAAAAAAAAGAAAAGAGCAGCTGGGTGCAGGGCCACAAGCTTGTAATCCTGGCTATTCAAGAGGCAGAAGCAGGGTTGGGTTTGTAGCTCAGTGGTAGAGCACTTGCCAAGCACATGTGAGGTACTAGGTTTGATCTCAGCACCACCTAAAGATAAATAAATAAAGTAAAGGTATTATGTCTTTCTATAACTAATTTTTTTTTTTTTTTAAAAAAGAGGCTGAAGCAAGAAGATTCCAAGTTTGAGACTCTGTCTCAAAAGGTTAGGGATGTAGCTTAGTGGTAGAGTTATTGCCTAGCATGAGCAATGGTCTCAATTCCCAGGACCTCCAAATAAAAATAAAAACACACCAAAACAAAATAAGAAAAAAAAAAAAAAAAACAAAAAAAAACTTGTACATCATTTTGCTTTTTTTTTTTTTTTTTTTTTTGGGCAGTACTGGGGATTAAACCTTGGGGCACTCTACCAGTGAACTATAACCCCCCAGTCCTTTTTTTTTTTTTTCTTTTGAGACAGTCTTGCTAAATTGCCTAGGTTGATCTTGAACTTGAGAAGCTGGGATTATAGCCATGTACCACTGAAACTGGAATGGCAAGAGCAAAAAATTAGAAGGGAGATTATGCCGGGGTGCAGTGGCACATGCCTGTAATCCCAGTGACTTGGGAAGCTGAGGAAAAAGGATCTCAAGTATGAGGCCAGCCTCAGCAACTAAGCAAGGCCCTAAACAACTTAGTGAGATCCTGTCTCAAACTAAAATATAAAAAGGACTGGGGATGTAGCTCAGAGGTAAAGTGTCCATAGGTTCAATCCCTAGTACCAAAAAAAAAGAAAAAAAAATTGAAGGGAGATTATTCCTTACTCTTTCATTGCTTAATAATATATATTAAAATATTTAATAAAAAGAATATTCAAAACAACGATTTTCCTTGAAACAGAAAGTTTAAAAGTAATTAAATTACAGATATAGAAAGAAACAAAAAACATACCTTTGTGGCCTCCATTATAATTTTGTTAATTTTCTCTTTATCTAATCCTTCCATTCCTGCTTTATTATCATTAAGTCCCATTCTAAGCAGAAGATCATCTTTGTCATTGTCATTCTTTTCCTTTGTGCTATACATGGTGTAAATGTAAAACGTCTTCTTTTTTTACTATCTGAAAAAGCATACAAAATAAATACTGCTTTTAAAAGCATCCATAACTAGGACACATAAGGAAATCAATAAGACAAATTAAAAAAAAAAGATAGTTAAGAATTCTTAACTCCTGAAAAATTACCATTCAGATTTTTATAATTACTCTTCCAAGATTACTGTACTCTTGAAAGAAAAACAGAAATTATCATTTTCTGCATGCTTTGTGCCAGCTACTCATTACACTTGAGGCTTTAAAAGTGAACCTCATAAGAGCCCTGAAAGGTAGATATTATTATTCCCAGTATAAAAAGAGAAGAAACTTGGTTTTGGAACATGTCTGCTGACACAAATTTGCTTTAACATGGCAACATCTTTGTTGAAAACCAAGTCTGAATCCAAAACTATAGATGAACACTACAGCAAATACAAAATAACACTTTCTCTACTATACCTTAAATTCTATTGTATACATTATTATTATTATTATTATTATTATTATTATTATTATTTACTAAGGATTTAACCCAAGAGCTACATCCCCAGTCCTTTTAAAAGTTTTTTGAGACAGGGTCTTGCCAAGTTGCTTAGGGCCTCACTAAATTGTTAAGGCTGGCCTCGAACTTGCAATCTTTCTGCCTCAGCCTCCCAAATCACTCGGACTACAAACCATTGCACTTGGCCAGAGCACCATTAAGACAGTGGGGAAAACTACAGAAAAAAACTATTCACTTCCAGGAAACTTTTACATTGTACAATGTTATGTCACTTCTAAGATTAAGAAAAATCCTTTTGAAGGCCAGATATGGTGGTATATTATATATATAGAGAGAGATAAATATAGATATATAGATATATAGTCTCAGCTACTCAGGAAGATGAGGCAGGAGGATCACTTGAGCCCAGGAGTTTGAGATCAGGATGAGCAACAGAGAGACTCCATTGCAAACCAAAAGAAAAAAATAGAAATAGCCTTTCAAATAAATACTTTAATATCTACACGTGGATCTTATTGTTTATCTTCACATTATATGAGCCTTAAAAACTCTTTATAACAACTGTTATAAACTCTGTAACAGAAAAAAAATTATCAAGAAAACAAATTAAAATTTCAGCAAAGTTAAATGAATTGCCCATCATAACTCTGCCTGTAAGTGGAAGAATTTCAATTTGCATCTAAGTCTTATTATTCCAACTCCAATACAGTTACCATGATATCACAGCTGCCTCCAATTTGGGGTTCATTTATGCTAGACACAAATGGCCAGATGAAAGTAAAAAATGTGGAAAAAAATAAAAGGCCAGGTGAACAGATCTACAGCAATGATAGTAACTTATCTGCATGATTTAGCAAGAGCTCATTTACTCCAATCTGCCTTGAGGACCTTCCCCCCACCCCTTAATGGAAAATACGTGCTACTTTAGTATGGTCTGTTTATGCAAACTCATCTTGATATCAAGTTCTCATTTTTGTAAGAGTCACTTTTCTTTTTCTTTCTTTCTTTTCTCTTTCTTTCTTTCTTCCTTTCTTCTCTCCCTCCCTCCCTCCCTCCCTTCCTTCCTTCTTTCTTTCTTTCTTTCTTGTGCATGTGGTGCTGGGAATTGAACCCAGGGCCTCATGCATGCTAGGCAAGCACTCTACCATTGAACCACATCCCCAGCCCCTTTTATTTTTTAATTTGAAACAGGGTCTCACTAAGTTGCTGGGGTTGGTCTCAAACTTGAGATCCTCCTACCTCAGCCTCCCAAGTTGCTGGGATTACAGGTATGTACCACCAGGTCTGGCTCTTGAGGACTCTTTTAAAAACAACAACAATGTGGCTTCCATTTTGGGCAACAACAAAGAATAAAAATAATTTTAGTAGGGACTTTGAATACTGTGACTATTAATGGCAGTTCCATTAGGAAAAAACATGGACACCATAGTAGTTTCCAAACTTCGTTGTACATTAGATTACCTCTGGAACTTAAAAATCTTGATGCCCACTCAGGTCTCATCATATACTAAATATATCAGAAACTCTGAGAGTAAGAGCCAGATAAACAGCAGTATTTTTAGAGATGCCAGGTGATTTCAATATGCCCCAAAATATAGGAACCAGTGATGTAGATGTTGCTTCTGAATGCCCAGGCTGGTTTTCCATTTTCATTGTTTTTCCTTAAACTGTCAGATGCAATTTAATATGACCCTGTATTTTGTCTTAGTCTTCAGTAATTCAATTACTTGGCATTTTCTAGTAAAGCAGGCAAGTATAATTCAGTTATAATTTCACCACACCCAAACTACTAAAAAGTGAGTCCAAAAACTAAACACAGAACTCCACCTCTAAGCCACCTTGCCCTTTAAATGATGAATATATATGAAAAGAAAATAAACACTATTGAAAAGAAACTCGAACAATTTTACATTACTAATTATATACTTATATTAATTAGCTAGCTAAACTCTTAAGAATTGGTTTGGGTTCTTAACTGGGTTAGAAGTGGGCTATCAGAAATGCTGGCACCAGGAAAAATTGTGAGATAAAGTTAGTTTTATACTACTTTCCCCTATTGAAGACTACTTAACCCCAACTGAAGTACAATTTCATAGGTATACATTTACTGTCATTTATATGTCTATGACTTCCAAGTTTGCAATACCAGTCCAAATTCATAACATCTCAAATTTAACATGTCCCAAACTGATTTTCTCATTTCCCTCCATTCCCCCAAACCAACTCCACTTTCTTCCTCATTTCAGTTGAGGACAATTTGAATCCCTTTCAATTGCTCATGCCTTAGAATCACTTGACTTTCTTTCTCAAACACTCACAATCAAACTGTCAGGAAATCCTGTGGGCTCCTTCAAAATACATCCTGAGTTTAACTACTTCCAACCATCTTCACTGCTTTCCTTTAGTCTGATCCATCATCTCCTGCCTAGATAAATTTCAACAGTCTCCTAGTCTCTCTGCTTCTACCCATGCTATTCTTGTTAATTATCAACACTGTAGTCCAAATGATTCTTTTAAATCACAAATTAGATCATATCACTCTTATGCTGAAAACTGTATAATGCTACCCCATCTCACTTCAAAATAAAACACAAGTCCTTAAAATGACCTTCAAGGCCTTAAAGAGTTTGAATCCTTCCTACTTGTTTACCTTGTATTTTTCTAATACTCTTCTGCATGCTCACTCTTCTTCAGTCAAGGTACATTCCAGCCTCAACTCAAGGCCCTTTTGTAAACTGCCTGTTTCCCTTCCCCTGGAGGGTCAAATAGCCCCTTGACTAAATTCCCACCACCTCTTCAGGTCTTTGATTAAATGTCACCTTCTCGGTGAGAGCTACTCTGACCTCTCTATTTTAAACTGAAGCCTAATCACTTTGATTATTTCTAAATCAAAGAAATTATCAAGACCAAGGTAATAGCTATAATTTGGATCTTGAACGTCCCCCAAAGACTTGGGAAGTGGTGGGATGTTTTAGAGGTTGGGCCTAGTGGGAGGTCTTTAGGTCATTGAGGGGTGTGCCCTACAAGGGGATTGTGGGACCCCAGTCTCTTCTCCTTCCTCTCTGCTTTCTTGGCTTGAAATAAGGTTAGCAGGGCTGGGGATGTGGCTCAAATGGTAGTGTATTTGCCTAGCATGCATGAGGCACGGGGTTCGATTCTCAGCACCACATAAAAATAGAAGACATTGTGTCTACCTAAAACTAAAAAATAAACATTAAAAAAAAAAAAAAAAAGAAAGAAGGTGAGCAGTTGTGCTGGGCCATACACTCCTGCCATACACGTTCTGCCCTGCCACAGGCACAAAGCAACATGCCAACCCATCATGGACTGGAATCTCCAAAGTAATGAGCCAAAATAAACCTTTTCTCTCCCTCTTTAAGCAGGGATTGAACTCGGGGATACTTCCATCACTGAGCATGTAGCCTAGTCCTTTTTGTTTTATTTTTTTCAGACAGTACTAAGTCTTACTAAGTGGCAGAGGTTAGCCTCAAACTTTCAATCCTCCTGCCTTAGCCTCCCAATTCACTGGGATTATGGGTGTGTACTATGGCTCCCAGCTAACTTTTTTTCTTTATAGTTTGATTATCTCAGGTATTTCTTAGAGTAACAGAAAGTTAATACCATAATAACAACACACTAAATTTTGGTATATCTGAATCACTATGAATTTCTTTTGGGTCTAATATTTATGTCTGTGGTGAGCATGCTTTCACATTTTTATAGGTCTTTCCAAAATCCTTTCAACTTTTCTATAGTCTCTCAGTAGTCCTGATTATCTATATTTTTCCCATTAGTTCTTCAGTCAGTTTGTTATCTAGAAATCCATAAATTTAAAAAAGGGCTCCTAGCAGAGATATTCACATGATATCACTAAGTATGATTTTCCTATGAAGTAAGATTTACTTCAGATGGCTTTATGAGGACAACAGATAAATGTTAAGTGCCTAGTATAGTGTCTGGTATGTGACAAGATCTCAGTCAACAGTTATTATGGTAATTATTATTATTAAAGTTAAGCCAAATTTCCAGAGCTATGAATGTCAGTAGTTTTACTTTTCTTACTTTTCTCCCTTTAAAATAAAGACAAGCAACTATAAAAAGCAACCGAGTAAGCATCCAAAAGAAAAAACAAGGGTCACAGATTACATAGGTGAATTTTATTGGTTTTTGCTTTCAAACAAGTATTTGTAGTAGGATTACTCATATAAAGCCCAAATTATTTGAATGGATGTGACTGTGACTTTATAAACAAAAGTTGGGAGGGGTTTCTTTTTGAAAAGGGAAATAGGCAAATACAGCCTGTTTTGCTTCAACTAAGAAGCACAAACAGTAATGCACAAAGTTCTTTCAAAGGAAAGAACTTCATGTTCCTGTGGTTTAGTATATTGATTTAAAGGCACATATTTCTCCAAAAATATTCAAAATTCTTCCTGGTATGATTCTACCAACAACTATTCAGGTTACCACTTTAAAATATAAGGCAAAACTCTGTTTTTGGTATGGAAACGAATAGAAGGAATTCTAA